GTATAGAAGCAGCTCTGTAGTTGTGTTCACTAAGTAATATTTTGTTTCGAAAGTTTTTAATCACGTAAATTAGAAAGAATAAGATCTAATAATTATAGTACGTAAAGATAGTGTTGCAATATGAAAATCTCAAGAAAACCGGGTCTTAAAATATATTTAAACAAAGAAAAGTAGTAATCGTTTGTTTTTGTTTACATTGAGCGGTAAAGGAATAATTGTGAGTGCCGGTGGGCTGAGCTTTCTGATACGCAAAGTGCGAACTTTTTTTCGGACTATGGATGGACTATGGATGGATTATAATATATTAATAATCGCATACGCCCGGCTGATTTGTAATGCGTCGCCCGACCGAGCACTGATGAGGTAACGCTGATAGTACAACGATAGTTCCGTGCAATACATTTGCATCCGCGAGGACAAGATCACATGGTTTGTCTTTTGATCGTAATCTAATTATATTTGAGTGGATTCATGATATCTAATGCAAATTGGGGCTGTTGCTTTTCCGAAAATGATAACTGTGACGAATATATTGTTTGCATTAAACGTGAAAAAAATCATGTGTGATGATTGATCGAAATAAAATTATCATATGAATGACGTATGGTAGTGAACCATCATCATCATCATTACAGCCCTTCGCAAGTCCACTGCTGAACATAGGCCTCCCCCAAGGTATGCCACGAAGCACGGTCCTGAATCATCTGCATCCATCCACTTCCTGCATGTCTTACCAGGTCGTCACTCCATCTAGTGGGGGGTCGCCCTACACTTCGCCTACCGGTACGAGGCTGCCACTCGAGAACCTTTTTTCCCCAACGGTTGTCAGTTCTTCGAGCTACATGGCCGGCCCATTGCTAATTCAGCTTACTAATCCGTTGGGCTATGTCGGTCACTTTTCATTTCTAAGTTTATCACGCAGAGAAACTCCGAGCATAGCCCTCTCCATAGCTCGCTGAGCGACTTTGAGCGTCCTCATACGGCCAGCAATGAAAGACCGTCTCGGTTTCGTAGGTCATCACTGGCAACATGCACTGGTTGTACAGCTTAGTTTTCAGATTTTGAGGTATAACTGACAGACGAGAAGATATGTCGTAATTTCCCGAACGCTGCCCAGCCGAGTTTAAGTCGATTGACCTCTCGGTCGGTGGTTACTAGTACTAAACGTACTCGTCAACTTCGAGCTTAGTGCTCAAAACAACGACCGGCATAGGTGTGACATAGACATTAAACATGATCTTTGTTTCGTACTCTGGTTCTGTACTCGGATAGCCATCGTAGCCCTACTGTACAAATACTTCAGCACTTCGATATACCGACAGTCAACTTGACACCGCTAAAGAAACTGTAGCACCGCCCAAATTTCGACGGAATCAAAGGCTTTCTCATAGTCCACATACGCCAGGCAAAGTGGCAGATTGTACTCTTCGGACTTCTGGACACTTTGCCGAAGGGTATGTATGTGGTCTATGGTACTAAAGCCTTTTCGGAAACCGGCTTGTTTGGGAGGCTGGAAGTCGTCGAGTCTGTGTGCGAGACGATTTGTAATGACTCTCGAAAACAGCACGTAGACGCGGCTTAGAAGGGATATCGGTCTGTAGTTCTTCAAGAAGGCGTTGTCACCTTTCTTAAAGAACAAGACCACCACACTTCTGCTCCACGCCTCCGGAGTAGTGCCACCATGGAGGACGGAATTAAAGAGCCTCTGAAGGACTTCAAGTACCGGTTTTCCACCCGCTTTCATAAGCTCCGCTGTAATTCCATCCTGGCCCGGGGACTTGCCGTTTTTAAGGTGCTGGAGAGCCATTCTAATCTCGCTCAGACTGACGTCCGGGATATCATCGGAATAGTAGTGAATAGTCCTTTTTATTGTGTTGTTCATGATATTTGTGAGAAACCGATACAACTTGATAAATTACATTAAGCACTCTTAAAACATTTTATTCACTTATTGGTACAGTAACAAATAATTACTGTAACAACAAATGATAAGGTGAATAAATAAGCAGGTGGATTGACTTTCCACTCACTTAGCGGTCAAATATCAAAAAGGCTGTTTCTACAGCGAACGCCTTGTTTGAAGACGAAACGTGAGTATTGTGCCCTTCCTAGTGTAGTGGTGTTGATATTATTAGTGAAGGTGATAGTGAACGTAATTGAGAGAGAAAAAAGAAACGTCAGAATAATTTTTCACGCTTATCTTAGCCAATTAATTTTAACATCTTAAATCTAGTAGTGATTGTGGTGAAGTTATGCGGAAATAGGAGCGGGTTGGCTTGACTGAAAAAAAAACCACATTCAAACAGAATACAAGCGTGAAATAGCAACGTAATGTATCTTTGTTTTGTGTGGTATTGGTTGGGGCTATAGGGAGGCTTTGGATCATCAGTTTACTTTTGTTAGGCTATAGTGAAATATTGAGTTTGAAGGTCATGAGGTTTTTCCGACCTTTACCACAGTCACCTCTAACGGCACTCGCGGTACGAAACGAGTTAATGAAATAACTTACTTTAACATGTACGATATGTCTTAAATAATGGTGACAAACAAGCACACAGTCCACCTGATGGTAAGTAGATGCTATGTCTCATAGACATCTACATTTATCCTCGATTAATAATCAAAATGCAGATGCGTTGTCACCACTGAGTACTAAGATTGAATGCTTCATATCCAGTAAAGAGTCTCCGGTTCCTTACACTTACCATTTGAAACACAGCAGCATTGAGCTACTATTTTACGCTGGTATTCTGTGAGACCATGATCCCGGTCCGGTCGAGCCGACTCATTCGTGTTTCAAGCATAATACGGCTCTACCACGTAGAACTGCAAAGCACATAAATTATTACCTTTAATTGAGACATGATAGTAGAATCCGATTTTTTTTAAGTTGAGAAAATTTAGAAAATACGTGTAAACTCTGCGCGTGCTCGCTACTAACTTAAAACGTTATTACGTTAAAACTTTTGCGGAACGTCTGCAGTAGGGAGTTCCTAATGGGGTAAAACACAGACGTGTCGTTGAACTAACTTGCTTTAAAAGCACAAACACCTTGAATTTCATTGAGCGATCAGCAAATAAATGGAATAAGAGAACCTGTTTTTTGTTCTTCCAAATCTTTTAAATTTATTTAATAGTTATATGAGATCACTTTATAACCTTTAATAAAAGAGCCTGCCAATTAAAATCCAAAAACGTTTCGAAACGAGCACACATTTCTATAAAAATAGTTAAAAATAATAAATAGAAGAGAACGGGTTCCCGAAATATGATAATATTTCCCGGTAGTGAAATTAGCAGTGCGTGCACTGCTGGGTTCAAGTCTGAAGGTTATAGAGAACCAATTTAATTACATATTATGAGGATTAATGAAAAATTAGCTGCCCGGCGGTAGTCTATGACCGACTCGTTCTCATTGAGGGAGTTATAGATGGAGCTTTCCACACTTCGCTCCCGCACGCTACCTCTAGGAGTCCTTACATAGGGCGAGGCCTCGAATGCTAAGGTCCTCCAGCGATTCTGCCATAAGGACTATATCGTCGGTAAATCGAAGGTGAGTGATGTACTCGCCATTGATGTTAATACCGTATCATTTCCAGTCCAGTAGCTTGAAAACGTCTTCCAACGCAGCGGTGAAGAGTTTCGGGGATATAACGTCACCCTGTCTTACACCTCTCTGCAGTTGGGTAGGTTTCGAACTCTGGTTCTGTACTCGGATAGCCATCGTAGCCCTACTGTACAAACACTTCAGCACCTCGATATATCTTGTGACAAATTGTTTAAATAAATTTAAAAGGACACAAAAGAATTCAATTTTGTGGATATTATCAAATAAATTTAAAAAACCAAACTTATTTTAATTGTTTAAATATTTTTTTGCAATTAAATATAAAATCTCATCTGGAAAAGCAGCAGGAGGCTGTACATTGTCTGTTCTGTTCCTCCCATACCTCAAGTACTACATTATTGTCGTTATGTGGGCGCAATAACCTACCGACCTGTAAGCCGAGAGAAAAGCCAAGAGTCAAGTTAAGTAAATCCACGAAAAAAAGACACGAAATCTACCTAAAGGCTCAGCCACAATGCCGAATGCGCGTGACAAGATGAAACTCGAAGACTTCGAGTCGAAGCTATCAAGTTGAGTCTGATTTGGAACACTAATCGATATGTCGACGCCGAGGATTCCAGCAAGGGGAGTTGAAACTGAGGCGATACGACAAAGAGGTTCTTTTTAGCAGTAAACGCGCAAACTTGTGTCTTCTTGATATTAAACTGGACTAGATTTAGTCGCCCCCAATCCAAGACTTTGTTCAGCAAACACTCGAGACCAGACTCAAGTTTATCCCGGTGCTCGGAGAAGTTTTCCCGAGAAATATTGGCACGGCTTATGTATAAGGCTACACTAATAATTTTCACTTGAATCATTATATGTTCTTGGTATCTTAACGGATTTCTAGTGGCATTTGATAGAACGATTTTATGCACTTTTTGATAAATTTTATTGTATATACACTATGTTTTATATATTGTTCAAATTAGTTTATGCACTGATTTTATATTTTGATTATATCACTTTGTTTTGGAACACACAAATAATTTTAAAACTTATTTAATAGCGAGTACGATATTGACAGTGTCGCTGTGGCGCCCTCTCGCCTCGCTGTGTACAACAAAACTGGAACTTGAATTATATTAAAACTGTAAGTAAACCGAAAGCATCAAGAACTATAACCTCGAAAGTGCTATGTAATCATAGTACACATATCTGTTTTTAAATCATCGATCAAGGTATCTAATAGCGCCACCTATTATGATCCATCATAACTTTTAAGCCAGGTCCTAGTTCGACGCGCATTCTGATATCTCGCAACATTTAGGACACCTCTTAATACACTTAGACAACTCGATCGCTACTGAGTCAACAAGTACTTACCTGTTCCCATAGAGGGCACCAAGGGAAATAAGCGAATTAATTATAATAAAATATGGATGAACTAAAAATGTTAATTAGCATGCAGCAAGATATAAAGCAGCAAAAACAAGACATGCTAGAGATGAAAGAAGATATTAAAAGTACAATAATTAACAACCTCAGCGAGAAGTTCAATAACTTAGAACTGAAAAATGAGCTTTTGGAGAAAAAAATTAAAGAGCAATCAAAAAAACTTAAAAACCTAGAAAGACAGTGTAGACGTAAAAATCTGATTCTTTTTGGTGTTGAAGAGACAGAAAAATCGTACAACGAACTGGAAAAAATGGTAATAAATACACACATAAAAATTTCGTACGACACTTACAACATAGAAGCTGTTAGAAGATTAGGGATAAAGGGTAAAAAAGTTCGACCGATAGTAATTACATTCAATACTTTAGGTTTCAAATTAAATATACCAAAAAAACAAACATAACCTTCAAAACACTTCCTATTACTTAAAAGAAGACTACCCATTGGAAGTCTTAATTAAGCGTAAAGAGCTACAAGTCCAACTACAGAAAGAAAAATATGCAGGAAACACCGCTTTTATAAAATACGACAAAATTATTATACTGACCAACAAAACCCCCCACAGAAACAGTCAAGCAAAAGAAACCTATCAGAGTCCACGGAGAAGCTCCACCCTGTTAACCAAAATGTTCAACAGACTAGTAAACAACCACTTAAGAAAAATAAAGGGGACATAAAGAACTATATAACACAAAAGCCCAAACTAATCCTCGCTCACACAGAATCAACTCAACGCCAATCGAAGACATCAGACTACAACACAGAATAGCAATCAAAATCGGACCCCCTTCCAACCCCTAATCTCCCAGTACGGCCGGTCACCGCGGGATAGTTCGACCAAAACCCCCCAAGAACCACTATCAAAATGAAAAATACCGTCTACATTTGCACCCTCAACGTAAGATCTCGATCTTCTGACCAAAAATATATTGAGCTCAAAGCTGCGCTAGAAGATATTGAGCATGTTTGAGCGAAGTTCGCCGCCTAGGAGAAAAGACAATCGAAGACGACGAATACATCTTCTACTACATTGGCCAAACAAAAGGACTATATGGAGTAGGTTTTCTAGTAAGACAGAGCACAAAGATAACATCATAAAATTTACTGGAATATCCGAAAGAGTGTGCGTACTGGAAATCAAAATGGAAAACTTGAGTTTTGCAGTAATCCAAGCGCACGCTCCCACTGAAAACTCATCACATGAAGAAATAGACAATTTTTACGAGGACTTAGCGAAAGCTCATTTTTCCACATCTACTGAGTACGTATTTTCTATAGGTGATTTTAATGCTTGAATCGGAATTCCAGAAAAGTACGAACGTCCCGCTACAGGAGAGTATGGTTACGGCATTAGAAGCGCTCGAGGCACGAGACTGATTCAATACGCGCAAGAGTACAACCTGAAAATTTTGAATACAATGTTCAGACTAAAACTAAAAAACCGCTGGACATGGATCTCTCCAGATAAAAACACAAGAAATGAAATTGACTATATCATGACCACGAAGCACCACATGATCTCCAAATAAGAAGTACTACCATCTTTCTCTTTTGGATCGGACCACAGACTACTAAGAGTAACAATACACCTAAATTCAACAAAAAAAGTAGGCGCAATTTCTCAAATACATCTACTAAGCTAAAAACTCTAGCAGAGCAGGAATTGTACCTTACAAACCTCCACCGCTTTATACCAGAACTTATAAAGAATCAAAACAATTATAATGCGGAGGAATACTATCAACAAATCATGCACTGTATCAAGATAAGCCTAAAAAATATAAAAGGAACACATAAGAACAAAATCCTATCCGCGAAAGCGCTAGAACTCATGAAAGAAAGATACGAACTACAAAATAGGCCCCAATTAAGCGTAGCTGATAAAGAAAAACTAAAAACTTTGTACAAACTTACCAACAAAGAAATAAAAAGGTGCTACGTTATCTACAGAACAATAACCATACAAAGACACCTCAATAATACTAGATCTGCCAAAAAAGCTTATAAAGAGCTAAATCAAGCCAAAACATGGGTTCCTTTTCTCAAGTCGGGCAACAACAATTGCAAATCTCGCACAGAAATCATAAATGGTGCTACTGACTTCTACGCTAATTTATCCAGACATTCAGACACACAAAATCAAAATATGGTTTCCTATAGCTACATAGATAACCTCTCCGACACACCAGTTTACAGAAAATAAAATATTGAAACAAATAATGAGACTTAAGCCAGAAAAAAGCCCAGGACCGGATGGAATCACCAACGAATGTATCAAGGTTGCGAAGACTCTACTACTGACACCAATCACTATCCTATGGAATAAAATACTTGATGAAGAAGCTGTGCCACATTAATGGATGACATCGGAAATTATACTACTATATAAAACAGGTGACCCAGCTGATTGCAACCGTCCTATAAGCCTAATGCCTTGTTTTTATAAACTTTTTGCCTCCTGTTTACTTGAAAGGATAGCCCCAGCCATTGATGCTGACCAACCAATCGAACAAGCTGGTTTCAGAAGCGGTTTCAGCACGATGGATCATATCCAAGTGGTTGACCAGGTGATAGAAAAATATTCAGAATTTAATAAACCCCTGTATTTAGCTTTCATAGACTACAAAAAAGCTTTTGATTCAATTTCACACGAGAGCATCTGGGAATCGCTGAAAGCAATAAACACAAATAAAAAGTATATCAATATCTTAAAAAATATTTATTCTAACAGCACAAGTAGAGTCAAACTAGATAGAGTAGGCGAGGAAATCAACATAAAGAGAGGTGTCCGGCAAGAAGACCCAATCTCACCAAAATTATTCATAGCTGTCTTACAACACGTAATGGGAGAGCTGCCATGGTACAATCATGGTATTAATATAAATGGAAGTTTTTTAAGTCATCTCAGATTTGCCGATGACATAATTTTATTTTCGGAAACCTTTCACCAAATAAACAAAATGGTAAATGAATTAAAGCAGGCTAGTATAACAGCTGGTTTAGAAATGAATCTGGAAAAAACTAAAATTATGTCTAACCGCAGTGCAATGCCCATTTTAATAAATAACACACCTCTCGAGTTTGTTAACCAATACATATACTTAGGAAAACAAATCTCCTTTAGTAAGGATAGAAATACTGAGGAACTTAACCGAAGAGTGGCGATTACCTGGAACAAGTTCTGGCACCATAAAGAAATACTAAAATCGCAACTTCCGCTACCGACCAAGAAAATAGTCATGGATACTGGTCTTCTACCGTGCCTCACCTATGGATGCCAAACTTGGACTTTCGATCTCAAAACCAGGAACAAAATTCAGACTACCCAGAGAAGAATGGAAAGAAGTTGCCTAGGTATAAAATTGAAGGATAAGGTAAAGAACGTTGACATTCGAAAGAAGACCAAAGTATGCGATGCCTTAACTTTTGCAATGAAGTCCAAATGGAAATGGGCGGGTCATGTAGCCCGTTATAAGGATGATAGATGGACTCTACGGGCAGTAAAGTGGTCTGGGCCAAAAGGCACCAGATCAAGAGGTCGACCAAAGGCCAGATGGGCAGATGAAATTGTAGCGTGCGCGGGTGGTAGTTGGCTAGACAGAGCTACAAAGAAGGGTGGCATGCCTTGGGGGAGGCTTTTACCCGAACGGGGTCCATGCATTAAATAATTAGGTATTTGATAATTGAAGCAAATAATAATTAAAAAAAAATTAAACTAATTATATATATAACTAACTAAAATCATAAGTATACAAATGTAATTGAATGTTATAGGGAAACAAGTTAAGAAATGTATCGTTTAATATGTACTATGCATGGAATTAAATAAAGCTTTATTTTTATTATGGGGTATCTATATAGTTTTCTCATTTTTTTTTGCGAAGTGCTGATTTCCTCAACCTTTTTATGAGCTTTTACCTCCTTGAGGGGGTTTTCTCTCTGGTTGGGTTCTATAAATATATAATTATAAATGAAAATGAAAAGATAAATATACATAAATATCAATAAAATAAAATAAATATAAAAGTACATAAATAAGTAAAAGCCCAACCAGATGGAGGCCCTCGGCAGAGGAGACCAAACGGCCGAGGGTTAGGGGGAAAGGGAAAGAAACCGGCGGACGATGCGGGCGGTATCGAGGAGCACCGCCTTCTGCATTTGAGCCCGGAGCGGTCCGTCACGTAGTCCCAGTCGCCTCAGATGACCCGAGAGGCTGACTGGGATTAGCCCGTTTGCAGAGACGACTACAGGAATAATTTCGGTCGGCAGACCACCCCACATGTCGGTCACCTCGTGAGCCAGGTCCAGATATTTTGTTTGCTTGTCTGTTTCGGCTTTCACGAGGTTCTCGTCATACGGAATGGTAATGTCGACCAAAAATATCCTTGACTGTGCCCGGTCCATCAGCACAATATCAGGCTTATTCGCAAGAATAGTCCTGTCTGTGATGATGGCCCGGTCCCAGTAGAGCCTGGCGCGGTCATTTTCGAGCACGGCTTCCGGCAAGTACTTGTAATACGGCAATTTCCGGTCCACGAGACCGTATTTCAGAGCGAGCTCCTGGTGTAGAATTCTGGCTACTAGGTTGTGCCTGTGCAAGTACTCAGAGTTAGAAAGCGCCGAACAACCGGAGATAACATGCCTAAGTGACTCACCGGGATGGCGATAAGCTCGACAGATGTCGACGGTGCCACCCTTTAAGGATGTATCTCCGATAGTTGTTGGTCTTAATAACCTGATCCTGTATTGCACAGACAAAACCCTCGGTTTCCCCCGAAGGGATCACCAAAGCGTAGACAATCCTTGTAGAACCTCCCGTGGAGCTCCTTCTTCTTCCATACGGTCTCCCGGTCGGAAATGCTCTGCACTGCCGGGTCTTGCCATTGCTCGTTGGCTAAGGATAGAGGGGTAAGCCCTTTATCACAAGAAATGACGTCCTTATAGAATGGATCATCCGATCTCGCCAGGAAGTAATTACGGAGGCTGCACACTTCGCGATTATGCATGGTGAGCGCGCTCAAGAAGCCACGACTACCATGCTTCCGCGGCAAGTACAGCCTCATTACCGACGATCTCGGATGATGCATCCTATGGGACGTCATGGTAGTGCGGACTTTTCTATCCAGGGCGTTAAGTTCAGTCTGAGTCCACCTGAGTATGCCAAAGGTATACATGAGGACAGGCATGACCCAACCGTTATATGCGTGTGCCTTATTCACACCGGACAAAACCTTTGGTCAAGCGTGCATAAAACACGTCGCAAACTGACTGTTTCATACCAGCCTCATCGATACCGATGTTCTGTGACATACCCAGGTATCGGTATGTTTCAGCCTCGGAAAGGGTTCTTAAGTTGACGGGCATAGATAAGTCTATGCCCTCAGAGTTAGCAACCCTTCCCCT